GGGATCTCAGATGCCATCAGTTCCAACTAACCCCCTCCCATTCTGCGTATCTGGAAGCTGAGGCCCAGGCAGGAGCTGCCTGAGGCTACATGACGAGTTGCCCTCATGCTGCAGCTTCTAGCTCCTTCCATTACTGAAACGCAAGCTTCCCCAAACCCAGGTCCTAAAGCTCCAGACCTCTGCCGGGGACACGACACAGTTGGAACCAGCGTCTGCTCTTGGCACGTGCGTGAGCCTGCCAGCCTCTCGTGAGGGTGCAGGAGGTAGGGGGGGTGTCCCTGATAACCTACCCACCCAGGGTCTCCTCCCACCCTGACAACTGCCAGGGTGACGGGCTGGTCAGGACCAACACCTTCCCTCCTCGACAGATAGGGAGACTGAGTCCCCGGAGAGAACCTTGGCCCCAGGTGCTCAGACAACTGGCAGGGATGCTGTTGGGTGTCAGGGTGGGCATGGTTGTCTCAGGCTGGTCTCGGGCTAGTGGGTCAGCACCTATCTCACACACTCCCTGAGGCCCAGGGGCGAGAAATCCCGAGGAGGCTGGGGCTCACTGCCTCCCCCTGCCCCCAGGTCATCGTGCAGCGGTCACTGTCCGCCAGGGACCTGAACCACGCCAAGGGGGGCTCCATCCTGGCCAGCTACCTCAAGATGCTGCCCATGGGCCTGATCATCATGCCGGGCATGATCAGCCGCGTGCTGTTCCCAGGTAGGACGGGCCCTGGGGGCTGGGCTGAGCTGCAGGGTGGAGAGGTCAAGGACAGAGGCAAGTTGTTTCCCGGCCTGGGGGAGCGGGGAGGGGAGTGGTCCCCAGGGCCACAGTCAAAGGGATCGACACGGAGGTGGCTTGACATAAGGTCCGGGCAAAGACTACCTACTGCTGTGTGATCTCAGGGTGTGAAGGAACATCTCTGTGCCGCCGCCATCTCCTCATCCACAAACTAGGGAGCAGACCACCCACATAACACCACACCCCTGAAACCTCTGGGTGTGTTGTGTGTTTCCTTTCGGATCCTGGTAGCTGGCTCAGGTTGCCTTTATGGGATGCTGGGTAATGACCTGGGGAGGCGGCTGCCCAGCAGACGGCACCTTTGGGTGCTCACGCGTTGGGGAGGGGCTCCCAGGACCCTGGTGCGCAGGGGCCCCGACCCACCTGTGCCTCCTTGTCTGCCAGGTGTGGGGCCTGCATCCTCAGAGCGCCTGCCTCTTCTCTCTCCTGACCCTGGGTCCACGAGGAGCCACCCAGGGATCCACGGGTCATGTGGGGAGTGCTCAGATGTTGGCGGGGGGGCTGGGCTGACCCGTTGGCCACCTGCTCTGAGTGGCAACTCCGGAGGGCGGCCGAGCGCTCCATCACCTCAGAACACTCCTCTGACACGGATGAGGAGACCATCGAGGGCCGCTCGGGGCCAGGGCCACGGCCGGAGCTGCCTGAGAGGCTGTCCTGGTCACTGAGGGTCACGTAGTCGTCGTCGTCTTCCTCCTCCTCCCCCTCCAGCCCATTGGGGACCACCGGCCCCCCGCCGTCGGGGTCATCCTCGGTCATAGACAGCTGGTACTGAAGCGGGGCATGGCCTGGGCCTGCCGTCCTGGGGAGCCCGTGGTCCGTCCGGTTATGGGGTGCCTGCCCCTCTGGGGTTGCCAGGGCCCAGCCAACACCGCCGCCCTCCTGGGCAAGCAGGTCTGCCACTGGGACTGTGCGGGGCTTGGGCACAGGAGGCCGTGGCTCGGTGTCCCCCTGGGGGAGGCTGTTCTTGGCTGGGACCCCGTCCTGGGGGGATCTGGGCTGGGGGGCGGGGCTGGAGTCCTGGCTCTGCCTCCACATCGGGGTCCTGGCCTGGGATGTGTCCCGGATCTTGATGCGGTTCATCTGGCTGGGCTGGGGGTTCCAGATGTTGGGGTCGATGATGTTGATGTAGCCTAGGATGTCGCTGCCAGGTTCCGGGTCCGGCTCCACCCACGTGGGCAGGTATTCAAACATGTTGGCCCGTTCCAGGTTGAGCAGCCCCGGGTGGATGGGCAGGGGCGGCTCGGGGAGGTCTCCCGGCAGCTCGGCTAGGGCCGTGTCCCGCACCCCCAGGGTCCTGGAGGCCTCCTGCTGCTCGGAGGACAACTTGGCAATCTCGTCAGCACTCTTGGCCTTGACCAGCGCGTACTTGGGGTTGACAAGCTTCTTGGCCGTGGTGCCCGAGGGCACCTGCGGGACCACAGAGTGCAGCACGACGGGCTCGGGCTCGGGCTCCTTCTCCATGGGGATGTCCTTGAGGCTGACGCCGTGTGACGTGAGGTACAGCTCCTGGAACTGCCGGTCGAACATCTCCACCACCTGGCCCGACAGCACGGAGATCACGTTCCTGTCTGTCCTTGCAGCCGACCACGTGAAGCTGCAACAAAGGGCGGCAGCCTGGTCAGGCGCAGGGCCCAGGGCCCGGGAAGAGGGAGCAGCCCCCAGCCCCCCACCCCCGTGCACGCACAGGCCAGCGTCCATCAGACTGTGGCCACAGAAGGGATTAAAGAGAAGCGAGCAGGGGCAGAGGACGGGGCCCGACGGGGCCCGAGCCCCAGCGTCAGGCCCGGTGTGGGACCTCAGGCAGCGCCTGTGTGGCAAGCTCCTTGCGGGTGTGCAGCCTGGACAGCGGGGGTCGTCGGCACAGTGACTTGTGCCCACCCCGTGTGGCCGTGGATGGCCCCTGCCTTGCTGCCCCCTGCGTGGCAGGGCTGGCAGAGCTAGACCGCACCGTCCTCATCCTGGCCCCTCCCTGAGAGCAGCTCTCCAAGTGACCGCGCTGTGGGCCTGGGAGGACGCAGCCGGCCTGGCCCACAGCCCACCTCTGGCTGTTGACACCTCGAGGCAGGAACAACAGTCTCACGGATAAAAGCATCGCTCTGCCTGCTTCCGAGACAGGTGGGCAGCGTGCGGGCATGCCCAGCCCCACTCACACCTCATCAGTCTGGGGACCAGTGAACTGGAATAACCGGGGTGTCACAAGGCAGGATTAAGGGCAGAAACCAGCTGGGAACTGGAGCCGCCCCTCCCCTGGCCCCCAGAAAGCCAGAGTCACCTGTAGGAGCCGCAGATGGCCCGGTCTCCATCCACGAACATGAACTTCTGGGCCAGGGCACCCTTGAACTTGGTGGCCGACCGCGTGAAGAATTCGGTCCCTCCGCTGCTCCGCACCCTGAGATTCTGTGTCGGGGGACAGGGGGCAGAGTTACACGACCCAGCACTGACCACCCTGCCCGGGCTCAGGGAGGGATTCGGGGGATCGCCGACGGGCCTGGGGAAAGGGGCGGTGCATGTGGGGACGCGCCGAGGTGGGAAGGGGTGGGAGGAGGGCGGGGGCTGGAGATGAAGGGCTGCAGGATGGTCTCGGTGTGGCCTGAAGGGGGTCCACAGGGCAGCCCAGCCGGATAGGCCCCGTGTGCGGGCCAGCTTGGAGAATGCTGCTGCAGGGTCCCGAGCAGGAGGGGGATGCAGACACATTTTAGGAAGGTCCCCCTGATGGCTGGGGGGGCTGTGCAGCTCGGGAAGGGGAGGGGGCTGCCCTGAGGGAATCTGGGTCTTGCACTTGGGCAGATCGGTGGCCTTGCCAGGACGGGTGACCAGCCGGGCCTCTTCCCCGGTCTCCCCCGCACCGCTGTCTCTCTGTCTCCCTAAGCCCTGCGAACTGTGGGCAGGGATCCCGGCAAACTCCCCTACTTCCCCGTGGGCCAGACCCCTGCCTGGGACCCAGGGGCAGTTCAGGGAATGGCCACATCCCTCCTCCCTGTGCTGGCGCCGTCGGCTCAGGAGCAGGGAAAGGCCCTGAGAAACCACGGAAGGGGAGCCGAGAGCCAGGAGGAGGTGGGGGGGGGGGTGTCTCCCAGGCGTCATACGCACACCCCGCACGGCCCGTGTCAAGGCTGGGCCCCTCCTGCCTTTCTCTGGGCATCAGGGCTCTCCCTCTCTGCGCAAGCTTGTGGATGTGTGTGGGCCAGGGGCTGGCTCCCCTTTCATCAAGAGAGCTTCTCGTTCCGAGGGAGGGGCAGGTGGGAAAAGCCTGTGGTGGAGGGACCCCAGGATGGGCGGGGCAAGCCTGGCTGACCCCCAAGAGTCAAGGGGACGGCTGAGGGCACCCCAACGTAGACCCTCAGGGCAGGAAGCAGACTTGGGCTCAGGGGGTGCAAGCATCGCCCAGGCAGTGTGTTAGAAACGCAGGCTCGCAGCTGCCCCAGGTTCGACTCGGGGGGACTGGGGTCAGGAATTCCATTTTTAACATAAGCCCCAGTGATCTGACGCATGCCCAGGACAGAAACCCCTTGTAGGCCCCGGTGACGGGAGCCTCACTCCCTTCAGAGGGGTCTGTGCCTGCGGGGGGTGCTGGTCTGTTACATCTTCTGCGACATCCCCTAACCCTGACCCTCACCCACTCACCGGCCCCAGCTTATTAACTCGTTCACTGACCCCTGCCGAGGTCCCCAGCGCAGACACAGACATGACTGTGACACAGATCCCTCGTTGGGGGAGAGGGGGAAGCAGATAAGTAACGACCCCAGCTGTGGGGCGCCTCCCGGGAAGGCTGGCGTCTGGGCTGACGTGTGAAAGACAAGGAAGAGCGGGCCGGGTGGGAAGAGGACGCAGCACCCCAGACCCAGGACTACAAAGGCCTGATTCAGACATGGGAGGACTTCGGGGAAGGGGGGCGGGCAAAGGAGCCGGCACAGCGGGCCCAGACAGATGCCGAGGAAAGACCCTACGGCCGCTGAGGGGCCTGGTGGGGCCCGGGGGCAGTAGGGAGCCACAGAGGGCTTAGAGCAGGGAGTGAGGGGTCGGAGCCATCCAGTCCCGGCATCCAGCGGGGAATGTGCATGAAACGCACAGGGAGCAGAGGAAGAGGACAGGAGGGGCTTCTGCACCTGAGGGATGTGAGTCCAGGCAGGGGCAGAGGGGAGAAAAGAGAGAACTGGAGGCCATCTCCGCTCCAGCCCACAGCCCTCAGTGCTCCTGCGCCCGTCCCGCCTGTGACAGGTCCCGGACCTTTCAGCCGGGGCAGCCTCAGGGCAGTACCCACAGAGGGTGAGGGGCAGGTCCCATGGATGCCCACCTGGCCGTGGGGCCCGGCCCAGAAAGCAGATAAGCCTCTGCTCCCAGGCTGGCTCCCCTGCCCGCCCTTCCCCAGGCTGCCTGTCTGCACACAGCCTGCACAGCAGGAAGCTGGCTGAGGCCCAGGACAATTAGTGTCTGTGACTGTACTGAATGCGCAGCACGCTTGGGGGCCGGAAGCCTGAGCAAAGATCCTGGGAGGCCTTCCCCTGTCACCTGTGCCCAACGGCAGCCCAGCTCTGCAGCTTCTGTGTATTCCTGGGTGACACCGCCCCGTGGGGCCTGGCCCAGATGAGGTAACGTCTCAGGAGCCAGGGCTCGGGCGAGCGGAGTTGGAGGATCCCACAAAGCCGCATTGTCTCTGAGCCTGGAACACCCCTAGCAGAGCACGTGGCAGGCAGGGGGAGGACGAGTGGGGTGCCCTGGGCGAGTCCCCAGACCCTCTGGAGCCTCATTTCCTCACATGTGAGGGGTGCAGTGATCGCCCCTGAGGGGACGTCCGGGGAGGATGGCAGAGCTGCATCTGCCCCAAGCGTGTACAGGGCAGGCCGTGCTGGGCACGAGGGCTAGGTTAGCCTCAGCACCACACCCCACACCTCCATGGGGCCTCCTGTGCTCACACCAGG